TGTCCCAATTGGGTTTTCTCGGGGAGGTTTTTAAGAGGCGACAGAGGGAAACCTGGAGATAACTTGAGAAACAAGTTTATCATACCAGCCACTCCATACGTCTCTCGACTGGCATGACAAAGGGACCTACTAGTGATCTCCAATGTATAGAAAGGCTAACGACCATCTCCAATGTATGAACGCCACGGTCATCTCCAATGTATGAAAGGCTACGGCCATCTCCATGTATGAAGGGCCACGGCATCTCCAATGTATGAGCGGCCACGGTCATCTCCAATGTATGAACGGCTACGGTCACCTCAATGTATAAACGGCTACGGCCATCTCAACGTAAAAGGCTACGACCATCTCCAACAACATTATGGATAAGGCATCGACGCGGATATCGACCATCTCGACTACAACGCAATAACTCGCACAACATCGAAGTTACGTACATGGCTAAGGCATCAACAATATTATGGCTAAGCATCGATCCGATAAGTCGACCCAGCTTGACTACAACGGCAAGTACTCGACAATAGTCGAAGTTACGTACTAGCATCAACGATATTATGGCTAAGGCCATCGACGTCGAATAAGTCGACCCAGCTCGACTACAACGGCAAGTAACTCGACAACACGAAGTTACGTACATGCTAAGGCCATCAACGATATTATGCTAAGGCCATCGACGCTGATAAGTCGACCCAGCTCGACTACAACGGCAAGTAACTCGACAACAGTCGAAGTTACGTACATGGCTAAGGCCATCAACGATATTATGGCTATAGCCATCGACGTCGATAAGTCGACCCAACTCACTACACGACAAGTAACTTCGACAACAGTCGAAGTTACGAACATGGCTAAGGCCATCAACGATATTATGGCTAAGGCCATCGACGTCGATAAATCGACCTAGCTCGACTATGACGACAAGTAACTCGACGACAATCGAGTTACGCCCAACGTTAAGGCCATCTAACAATATTAGGCCAAAAATAAAGGTACAAAAAGAAAAGAATAACAGCAAAAATTATAATTCCATTATCATCCAAAAATACATTACAAAAGCCCATTTACGTCTCCAAATGCAACAAAACAAAATGAATACAATCCTAAGGGCTTCACCATTCTGTTCACGCCCCCCGTCGGACCGCCATCTCGTCCACGCGTCCTCGGCCTGATAGCCGCAGAGTCCAAGAGCCGATCTAGACGTTGACGCTTCGGAGTTATAACTCGAGTCTGGGAATCAGGAACTATACCATAATTTTCACGGGCACACGGCTTCGCGTCGTGCTCCCTGAACCTCCGCCTCAGTACTCGACCCGCAGCTAAGAACTATCGAATACGACCAAATCTGGCCTCGGCGTACACCCACATATCATGCCCGCTCACGATGCGCATCTCATCAGGCCTGGTGCTTGCAGTCCGCTAAGGACTTCTAATCTCATGTCGCCTTGGCATCGATTTCGGTGGTTCAAAGCGGCAACCTTGATCCGCAAATCACATCTTCCGCCCTACCCCACGGCCAGCCTCCAACTTCTTCCCTTAGACTGGAGAAAGTCTCCAGCTCAATGTTCTGAGCCAGACGGTCATCATACTGCTCGTCGATCTGCTCCAGCTCGCCACCCTCCGTTTTAGCTGGCTCCGACTACTCCAAACCTCACGGAAAACCCGAAATTTCCGGGTCTGCTGAGTAGGTCCGCCAGCGCCTATGCTTGACGCGCACCGCCGATTATTTCTTTTACCACCTTGTTAAAGGTGGCTGCCTTCCTTTGCGCTAGCCGCCCCCTCTCTACCTCCAAGATGAGAGTCTAAAGAAGAGGAAAAGGAGGAAAGGCAAGTCAGTATGCATCAAAATTTACTTTACGATACATGAAGAAAATCGAAAAATACCTGCAAGGCCACGCCGGCAACCCTCCGGGATAGTTCCCCGTCGCTAACCCCTTTTAACATTTCACGCTCAGCGGCCGCACATAGCAGGGTCATATCCGCTGCGGCATGCTCGCTGTGTTGCAACAGGTTATACCCTCCTGGGATCAGAATTCGGCGGTTAGATCTACCTGCCGTCATCCCCACACGGGCCGGACCCCGCGTTAACGCATCTGCGTCCGCATGGGCGGCCTCAGGTCCCCCCCTCTCGGTACCGTCGCCCGCTTCTCCAATGGCAGCCGACGAACCGCTCTCCGGAATGCGTGTTGGGCTGGCATCGGGAACCGCCCCCCCTTGGGGAGCCGACCTCCCGGAACGGATGGCATCTGCCATAAAAACTGGCCTTGACTCCCGACGGGTCTCGCTCGCCCCCTCGTCTTCTGTGGCTATCCCCTTGCCAGTTATCAACCGGCGTCTTTTCCTTTCCGGTGGCTCCTCGCCCTCAGAAGTCTCCTCCACAGGCCGTGGGGATGGCATTGAAGGAGTCGCTTCACTTGTGGACACCGCCACGGGCAGTGGTCTAGGAACCTCCGGAGCGCCATCACTGGGCGAGCCACAGGGTATGTATCCGTCTTCAGAGTCAGTCCCCGCCCCAGAGAGGTGACGACGTTCTTCTTCTTCTTCTTAGGGGCGCTCCGACCTGCCAACACGAATAAGTCAGGTAACAAGAACGTAGGAAACTCCCAAACCGTAGCCAAAGAATTACCTGACGGGCCGTACTGTTGAAGAAATGCAGCCCAGGTACGGCATTCCTCCGGATAAGGTATTATTCTTTCCACCCATGATTTAATATCATCAGTAAACTGGGGTGGGGAAGCCCTCGCTGCGAATAAAAAAAGGGGAAAAGCAAAGAAATCACAATGGCCGTATGGTCAAAAGCGCAAGCAGTCCTGAATTCTACAAGTAGAAATACTTACGTTCTGGATTCCATCTTTCTGGGAACCCTTCGGGATTCGACACCAGGTGCTCCGTCCTGATGTAGAAATATTTATGCCAAAAGCGGCGGTTGGTCTTGTCATCGGCTTTAACAACCAAGCCCCTTGTGCCACGACTTTTTAACTGCAGCATGGTACCCCTCAGGTAACCAGCGCTGAATAACTGTAAGAGGTGGTGGACCGAGACGCTGCACTCAGCCCTGGCCGCATAAGTAGTCATAATACAGCACACCTTGAAGGTGTAAGGAGTGAGCTGAGCCGGACACACATTGTAAAAACGGCAAAGCTCCTCCATCAGAGGGTAGATAGGAAGATTGTAACCGATCAAGAACGGGTACTCATAGAATGTGCAATACCCAGGCCGGTGCACATTGGCATAGTCCGTCCCGGCCGGAACCATTTTCACGTGGTCCGGAATATGGTCTAAGTGGGATTGTAATAAAACACTGTGCTCCCAGGGAAGGTCTGGGCTTTTAGTTGGAAAATCCCTGCGAACATACATCTCCTTCGGAAGGACATTGTCTACACTGAGAGGAACAAGGGCCTTCTCTGCCTTTTCCCCTTCACCACCGGAAGATGGCGGAACCCTAGACGGGGCATTATCTTTGGCCTTTTTACTACTCTGTCCACGTTTTGTCATGATTATACTACGTAAGAAACGAAGCACTGACGATAGGAAGTGTGGTTTCAACAGAAGTGGGAGAGTCCCTCACGAAATAACGGTTACAGGAAAGAAAGACAAAGGAGTAAATCTGAAAATGCTTTCCGAAGGTTTGAAAGTTGAATCAAATCGAACCTATCTCCTATTTATACGGATAAGTTACGCAGAAATCGAAGAGTCATGATTCAAAACGTGCGCGGGAAACCAAAATGTCACATCATCCTCTGAACCGCCTCGGGGCAAATATAATAATGACGCATACAGGCGATGACGTCATTCCAAAGACAAAGCCACGCGTCAGTGGCTCAACAACGTCATATATTTCACCTCATTCATATTGCCGCCCTTGGTCGAGGTCAAATTCTCCTAAGCCGAGGTTCGCATTTTCGCCCATCGAAGACGCCCACCGAATGCGTCTCCAACGAGCGGAGGGACTAACTGTATAGGGTCAAATTTGACCGTCAGCGTCTCTATGCCAGTGGGTACGCCCAGTGAGTGTGCGCCGACTGACGTAGTGGGTACGACTCGGACGTGGGGACAAAAGCGACATCGATTAGGACTCAGTGTCTTCACTAGGGAGACGTTACCTATCTTTGTAACTTTTTGATTATTTCGAGGAAGGTCTCTTATTATATAAAGGAGACCTTCACATTGTAAAGAGGAGGATTCTGGAAGAATACAACTCTCTCATTTTCTGACTTTCTCTCTCTATCTCTGCCTCAAACGAATATATTCTCTTGAGTTCATATTATCACTTTGCAATACTAGATCTACAACAATAACATCATCTCTACATCTCTAGGTCTATTATATTTGATTACGATTTACCCTTTTTTTTTTTTTTTTGATTGTTTTCTAGCTTACAAAGTATATTGTTAACTTTTGAGCCAAACAATTAGTATATATCATCTCTTATAGAAGCTTAACGTGTGTATCATTATTTTTTAAGAAATTTAATTTATTAAATAGTTTTAAAAAATTAAACTCAAAATATAAAAAAGTTTATCCTCTTTCCACTTGACTGTTTCAATTTAACGCTGTTACACTGTTACAACATTGTGTTATCATCAAATTCTCCAAGGTGAGCTGCTGAGGCGTCTGTAGCCTAATAGGTTGTCAAAAAAATTAAAATATTATTTCCTCCATTTTAATTTAAGTGAAACTTTTTTTCCTTTTCTGTTGGAAAAGTACAATACTTTCTAAATTTGAAAGTAAATAATTTATATTTTTTATTTTATCTGAGAAGCTTTTATAATCATATAATGTTATGACATATATAAAGTCACAAAATTTAAAAATTTATAACTATATAAATTTTATAATATATTTAAGACCACAACAAGTGCTAAAAATATTTTTGCATTTTATAAACTGAAATGGACGGAATGATAATAACGGAAAATGCTAAATATTCTGGACGACGTCGTATATTGGAAAACCCTGGAAATAAAAATAGAAGACGTCACTCCACCGCGCACTTTAGCACCTACGATTTCAGAACCCCAACGTTAAAATCGCCTTCTCTCTCTCCTCCTCTGGCTGCCTATATAAACTTTACGTTCCCGGCGATTTCACGTAAACTCATCTAAACAAAATACACAAACCAAAAAAAAAAAGGGCAAAAGCTTGAAAAAGATTACAAGAATATGAAACCCATTTGCTCTCTCCCTCTCTGATATAATTTTCCTATTAATTGTTGTTGATCAATTGAGCAAAGTGAAAGAAAGGTTAAAGAACGGAGCTTTGAGTCTTAGCTATTTGAATTGTCTTCAGACTTTTAATGGCGATGGGACCAGAAAGATCAAAGCCTTTACATAATTTCACCTTACCATGTGGGCTTAAGTGGGGGAACCAGAAGTTCTTGAGGTGCGCTAAGGTAGATTCCGACGGAGAAATCTCTACCGTTAATCGCAGGTCATATGAGAAAGAATCGATCGGACGTCGGAGGGAATCGGAGGCGGCGGAACGGCACCGGTTAAATGATCGATTCACTCGAAAATTCAGGTCGGTAAATGCCGGCGATAGTGGAGAGGGAATCGGAGCTATGAGAGAGAAGCTTATGTTTGATCTTCAAACAGAAGCTGACAAGATGAAAGACGCGATTTTCAAAGAAGGTTTGGATGAGCAACCGGAGAAGGAAGTATCGCCGGCGCCGGCGAAAACTGTGACGGCGGGTGCAGCTGATGTCGTCGACTTATCCAGGCCGTGGAACTTAAGGACTCGCCGAGCGGCTTCTAAAGAACCTAACGGATTCATTACCGGCGCCGTCGCCGGTTCCGGTGGATCGAAAGGAGGGTTGAAGATTGAGGTTAACAGAACTAATGCTTCGTCGCCGTTAAGGACGGAGAACAAATCTCCGATACCTCGAAGTGGTTTTGCCGGTGGAGCGACGGTCGGAGCTTCTACCAGCGGCGAAAAGAGAGAGAGGGTGAAGTTCTCGGTTCCCCTTTCGCGAAAGGAGATCGAGGAAGATTTCATGGATATGGTGGGACATAGACCCCCTCGTAGACCCAAGAAACGAGCTAAATTTGTTCAAAAGAATTTGGACGTAAGTGAAATTTTCTCTTTGATTTATGATAGTCTGAGCTTAATGAATATAGAGATTTATACGGCCGATCACAACTAGTTAGGATTGAGGCAGAGTTGTTTTGTTCTTGCTGTTTTTGTTGATGATCTTTTTAATATACAGTGTAATGTGAAATTGATGTTTGGTTGCAGACGTTATTTCCAGGGTTGTGGTTGACGGAAATTACAGCTGATTTATACAAAGTGCCTGATGATCAGTAGATTAAAAAGGTAAAGATTCATCATTTTGTTCTTTGAAGACTAGTCGGGATTCAGATTTGTATATCAAGATTCAAGAATGATTTCTACAGATGGAAGTGTGTTTTGCATCAAAAGATGGTAACTTTGTGATAGATCAACTAGCTCGTATAGAATATAGAACACAACCTGAATTTGGGAATTCGATGAAATCGTTGAATTTCCTCAGACAACAAAATTGGTGTTTGAAAAAAAAGCAGAACATTTAGCTGCTCTGGGGATGCAATTTTGTTTAATTGATTCAATTTGTTCATAATCTTCTTTGTTAATGCTCATTGGATAAGTATAATATAGTACTGATGTTGTCAATTGTTCACAATGTTATTGTTTCCAAATGCATTCATTACTTACTGCCTTGTTCTTCTCTGTAAATTCAACTGTTTGTATTTCTCATGACAGTGGTTGCTTGGTTTCTTCTTGTCTGATATCAAACACAAATTTTTCTCTATCCGGCATGGTCTTTCTGAAAGTCCAAACTGCTCTCGAGATACTAGTGAAGCTCTTTGATCAGAATTTTTTGAGTTGAAGGGCGAGTTGAGATGATTTTTCTGAAAGCGCCAAGCTCGCCACTTCCTATATATAAGATTATATTCTAGTGCTGCTTTTTGAGAGATTTCTGAAATGCAACTGAAACCTGCAACACTAGAGCCTGTGTTTTTAGCTGAGGTTCTTAGTAAAATGTATATCCAGTTGGTGATTTCACGGCTCTTGCATTTGGTTTCATCTTTCTCCTTGCATTTTCTTTTGATAATAAGTAGATGAAGCATGTTCAAGCTCAATTCCCACCTCCCATTGTTTTCCTGTGAAATCATTCTTGAATTTATTATTGCTATCTCTGAAGATCTAGTGTACATACCTTGAGGTTGGTCGGGAAAAGGTCCAAATTTGTCCATGTGCTATTTGAAATTGCTCAATTTTTTCATCTGTTACACATTTGGTTCATTCATGCCGTTATATAGCATATTATCATCTCGTATTTGCCTTTGTCATTAAGGGAGCTGTGGCGTGAAACGAATGAACTCCATGTATCCAAATTAATTTTCCTTCCTCTAGGAGTTAAAGGGCAAAAGGGGACTTTCTCATAACGGAAAAGGGTCTGATATATCCTTGTACTATGTTAAATTGTTTAAAATTGTTCCCCGTTATACTATTGGGCCATAAAAGTCCCTACCGTCCAACTATCCTAACAAATCTGCCCTTACTTTGACGGAAGTGCCACGTGGCATCCATCCTTGCCTCTTTTTAAATCTGGGCACATAATAGACGACCTGCTCCAACTATACCCACTAACCCATAACCCATTTATAAACCAAATAATACCCCAAAGCCACTGACCAACAATTTATAACCCAAATTAAACCCCAACCCTAATTTATAATGATGGAGATAGCATTGCTTGGAAATCATATCCCATTTTCTTATTGTCCAAACAGTCACGGACTTTCACGAGATAAGGGTTTTTCTTCTCGTCGTAGAAGAAGAACTCAGTGTTCAAATAATCTGGCTTGTTGATGTCCTTGCGTTTTCCTCCTAATGTCTTCCATATTGTCCATATGCGATCTACATTTGCATGGTGGCTATAGAAAGCAGGATCCTTACCAGCTGAATAGAAATTTCCCATATCCTCACCATTTTTACAGTTATTCTCATTAGGCTTACTACCAACCCAAATGTGGACAGGAGTATGAGGGATGTTTTCAATAGCTCCCTGACCTGGTTTGGGTCCAACTTCCGTACAATATGGCTTACCAAAAAGAGTTGTGGACATGGTGAATTGGTAATCATTTGACGATACATTAGAGTAAGGTTATTACTCATCATTTGTAAGTCAATTCCTTTCACGTCTTGACCAAAATGACCAAGGTCCATGATTATAAATTAGGGTTGGGGTTTAATTTGGATTATAAATCGTTGGTCAGTGGCTTTAGGGTATTATTTGGTTTATAAATGGGTTATGGGTTGGTTGGTATAGTTGGAGCGGGTCGTCTCTTATGTGCCCAGATTTAAAAAGAGGCAAGGATGGATGCCACGTGGCACTTCCGTCAAAGTAAGGGCAGATTTGTTAGGATAGTTGGACGGTAGGGACTTTTATGGCCCAATAGTATAACGGGGGATAATTTTAAATAATTTACCATAGTACAAGGATATATCAGACCCTTTTCCGTTCTCATAATGGAGCCCAAAAGTTTAACGAAGACCAAAATTACTCAATTCCGAATAGTATGAAGGGCAAAAAACAATGAATAGTATAAAGCGCAAATTTGAACCTTTTGCAGGTTGATCTCATATACAATACATCCCCGAATGATGATCTATTAGCTAGTATAAGACAAGGAGCCCGTTTGGATTAGTATAAGACAAGGAGCCCGTTTGGATTAGCTGGAAAAAAGTAGCTTCAGCTTTTAAGTGCTGAAACTTGTTTTATAAATAAGCAATTATCTGTTTGGATAAAAGTGCTGAAACTTAAAAAAAGCTGTTGAAGTGTTTGGTAACCAAGTGCTGGTAAGAACTTTTTTCTCTTAAAAAGACATAAATATCCTTAAAGCTGTTAACATTATAAAGGAGTTGATTACTACAATATATTTGATTTATAATTAATGCAAATAAAAAATAATCTATATTTTAATTTATTTTCAATTTAAATGATTACTTAAGATAGTTTTTACAAATATAATTCTTGAATGCTCATTTTTAGCTTGTAAAGAAGAGGAAAGAAAAATAATTTGTTCCTCTAACTAATAAAGATTCAGAATATAAAATCAATGCATCAAATTTCCAGAACACTGATTTCTCAAATTCTATAGAAAGTTAGGTCATTATATGCATATTTCAAGAGAACGAAACAAAATAACATTTCTCAATTGGAATGTAAGATAATAAATATTAATGTTTTAAAAGATTCATACAACTACAAGTATCAAGCTTCACAAATTTCATTCGCAATCAAATCGCGAAGACCCATCCAAACAAGATCACTTTGCTCTTCCACATTTTCCGCATTTATATTGTTATTAGCTCTCAAAGATGTACCAACATCAGGATCAACAGATGGAACATATCTCTCATTCTCAGCTGCTCGGAATGCATCATCCATATTGCATTTCTTTCTAATATAGTTATGAATGGCCATAGAAGCAAGTACGATGTCTCTTTGAGTGTCAATGTTATAGAAAGGCATGTCTCGCAAAATAGACCATCTTGCTTTCCAAACCCCAAATGTGCGCTCTACAATACTTCTAGAAGAAGAATGCAAATAGTTAAATTTTTCAATTCGCCCTCTTGGTTCTCTCAATTGTCTTGTTACACCGCGGCGGAATTGTGCTAGGTGATATCTCACATTATCTCCTCCTTTGTATGGAGCCATATATCCCTTCATGTGCGGATATCCTACATCAACTAGATAATACTTATTTCCAATTGGACGTGGAAAGTTGAGTTCTGGTCTACGAAGGGCCTCACCAAATATACGACTATCATGGGCTGCTCCTTCCCACCCAGCCCATGCAAATGTAAAACACATATTAAAATCTACCACAGCAAGAATATTTTGAGTCGGATAACCTTTACGTGCAATATATGGTATCTCTTGACCTTGTGGTAACCTTGCTTTAACATGTGTGCCATCCAGTGCTCCCATACAATCCTACATAAATTTACAAGTACAAATATAACTTAAGTTAGTAATACTTATAAAAGTTAAGTTATAAGTTTAATAAAAAATAATTATGTAAAAATATTTCTTACTCTAAAGAAAGGGAGATATCGACCATTACATGGCTTGTGAGCTCCTGCACCATCATTATAATTTTGATGTGGTCTAATTATATCTCTTGAAAGCTCACAAATGGCCATCAAAACACTATGGAAGTGTCTATGAATTGTTTCTCCCGAATGTTGAAAGATTTTCTGTATCAATCGATTTCCAGCTTCATATGCACAAGTCATTAAGAACATGCCTAACATCTCGTGTATAGACATTCCACGTGTGGGTTTAAGCCTATACTTTTCAGTTAAGTCATTCGATAGATCAATAAACACCGACTTCCTCAGTCGAAATTTTCATAACAACGAGTCTCGTTTCCTCTTAATATCTCTTGAATAAATACATTTCCAGAGCGACTAGATGTACGACAAGTTCCTTGCATAAGTATTTTTTGTAATACATCAAACTCAATTTACCTGCTATTTGATATAAAGCCGTCCATTCCTTCTCATCTTTCTCCCTCTGTATTTCCTCCAGTTCTTCTTCATCTTCATCGTCTGGCGAATAACTTGGATAAGGATTTACTATGTCACTAGAGTTCGAACTCTTCATTTTACTGAAAATGAAAACATAAAGTTAACTGAAGCTTTACAAACATAAAGTAAAAGGGAAGCTAACTAAAAGCTAATTGAAGTTACTGAAGCATTATTGAAGCTTTACAAACATGATGTTAACTGAAGCTTAACAATAGTAAGCTTAACCGAAGCTTAACAATAGAAGCTCAACAAACAGAAGCTTTAATTTAATAAAAGTTTAGTGATACAATCACAACGTCTAAACAAGAAGAAATATATAAAGTTTCCACATAAAACCATAATAACGTTTACACATACAATCACAATATTCGAACAAGGAATAATAGAAATTTCCAACCACAACGATACAGTATCCATTTTTCTTGAGGTATAACTGATAGTTAAACTCCAACCAAGACTTGCGAGCTTCATCAGTAGGCATCCCCAAAAATATCTGTCGGTTATTTTTCTTGCGGAACATATTCATAGTAAAACTGTAAATTTTACTCCCAGCTAGAATATCAGAAATTTATTCCAACGTGCCAATACACTTCTCGATGGATGTGTCATTAACTGCAAGAGATGTAGCAGTGCTTTTGCTAGACATAAACTCTATGAAAGAATGTATATCCTCTTTTATTAATATTGCAGCTGTTTTTTTCTTACTCTTTCTTACTTGACTACTGGTGCTAACACCATCAGTTGATTTTTGTCTTTTTAGTGATGGCTCTGTAAACATAACAAAATTTATATTTTGTAGATCATCGCTTTAATCACTCATTTCATTATTAAGATGAGTAAAGTGTTCTTTGTCACAATCATCAATAACATTTATTCCTTCTTCATCAAAATTAAGTCCAATGCCGGACGATTGTTCTTGATTTGCTGCACGTGCTCTTTCTCCTGTGACAACAAAATCAGTAAACAGTGCATCGTAAACCATATGAGCGAAAGATATTTGTTCCTAAATTTCTTATATTTTGCATTCTCCTATAAAAAGAGAAAATCGAAACTATTTTAATCAAACTAATAAAATTAACAATGACAAAAATAAGAATTACACATATAATAATGTGAGAGATGTACCTTAATTTTTTGCTCCCACCAATCATCATCTGTCATAATTGTATTTTTTTTGGCATCCCATCCTAAACTTGTCTCCCCTCTCATCAACTGCTTAAAAAGTGTCCGTTCGCCTTTCATGTAATCCCAATGATTTTTCATTTTTTTTATCATAGTCGTTTCCCGTCTTCTTACAAAACTCGTCAATAATATTTTTTCACCCATCTTTATTTAAGTAAGTGTTTGCTCTATTTCCTTTTCTAACCTCTTGCTCACTAACTCAAGAAATATAATATGTGTATCATCGTCCCACTTAGCATTGTCTGGCATGATTGAATGTAAATAATCTGAAGAAAGTAGAAAAACCAAGAAGCTAAGACTGAAGTTGCATAAAGAGAGCCTAAAAGAGCCTTGTGTTTGACAGAAAGAATGCCTTTAGGTGTTTGCTTTGAGGCTTCGTAAAGGAATTATTCGCAACTCTCAAGCAAGAATATGATACATGTCAAGTTTCTTTTAAATACAGCTACATATTTATGTAGGTGTAAGTTAAATAGTACTACTTTGAACTAGCTTATTCCAGTACAAAAAGCTATCCTCTGGCTTCTTGTCACGACCCGGATTTCTCACTCTCGGGAGTCGTGATGGCGCCTACTAATGAGAGCTAGGCAAGCCAACCCTTAATTACCTTTGCCATTAACCAATTTACCTCTTTTAGCAATTATCAGTGATATCATGAAAACAGCGGAAAAAAAATATATAAGCGGAAGTCTTAAATTAAAGAATCTGAACAACAATGCGGAAAATCAACATAAACCTCTACCCAAGAACTGGTGTCACATACTCACAAACTACTAAGAGTGCTAAATACAACCGTTTGAAGAAAATATGACTATTTGTCTTGAAATACATGAGATAACAGACTGAAATAAAAGACAGAAGAGACGTCGGGCCTGCGGACGCCTGCAAGGCTACCTCGGTGTCTCGCTGGACTGAAGGCTAACTCCCGCGCTACTGCAGCTGCTGCCCAACACCTGGATCTGTGCAAAGAGCACAGAGTGTAGTATCAGCACAACCGACCCCATGTGCTGGTAAGTGCCTAGCCTAACCCCGACGAAGTAGTGACGAGGCTAAACCGGACTACCACATAAACCTGTGCAGTTATATATACATATACAGCAGAATCGAAATACAGAGACAAGTAATCAATATGGGAAGGGGGAGCATTCTAGGGGAAACAACAATTTCAAGTAAAAGTCGTCCAGCAACGAAGGAATTAACACAATTCAGACATTAATAAAGAGACAGAAAGCAACAAGTGCACGGCATCACCCTTCATGCTTTTACTCTCATCCTCACCAAGCAATGATATAATAAAATATGCACGGCATCACCCTTCGTGCTTTTACTCTCATCCTCACCAAGCAATGATATAATAAAATGTGCACGGCATCACCTTTCGTACTTTTACTCTCATCCTCACCAAGCAATGATATAATAAAATGTGCACGGCATCACCCTTCGTGCTTTTAGTCTCTTTCCTCACATATAATCAATAGAATCGGCACGGAATGGTACATCGTGCGGCACGGCATCACCCTTCGTGCTTTACTCTCTTTCCTCACCATAAGCAAACAATGCACGGCATCACCCTTCGTGCTTTACACTCTTTCCTCACAATAAACAAACAATGCACGGCATCACCCTTCGTGCTTTAACACTCTTCCTCACCCAAACAACAATCACAAACAAGGGGCAAGAGAATATACAGAATAATAAAAGAAATCCCGGCAAGGGAACACAATTGAACAATTAAATCCCGGCAAGTACAACATCAATAATATCAACATCCCGGCAAGGGAAAATAATCAATAAACAACAATATCCCGGCAAGGGAACAATTTAAATATTCTTTCTCTTCCTTTCACTTTTATTTCATATCTCACTTTACCACTTGAGCCAATGATCCAAAGGGTTCAACCATTTCATTGATGTTCACAATTGAAATATAACTCGAGCCAATGCTCCTCGTTGTTCATAGGTCACAATTTCCTTTCACAACAAGTAGGAATCATCACCAAGGCAAGGGAAATACAATGAAACCAAGATATTCACAATTTAAAGACCCACGGTCATGCTAGACACCAACGTATAGATACTCGTCACCATGCCTATACGTCGTACTCAACAAGAAGCAATTTGCAAATAAGACTCAACTCCTAGTCCCTCAAGCTAGGGTTAAACCAAACACTTACCTCAAACTTCCACGGCCAAATCAATCCTCAACAACCGCTTTCCCTCTCGAATTCGGCTCCAAATCAATCAAATCTATACAATAATGATGTCATAACATCAATACATGCTAAACAAATCAAGCCCAATGCCTAATTATAGATTTCCAAGCTTTCTTCCCAAAATTCCAAAAATTGACCTCGGGCCCGCTTGGTCAAAACATGAGGTTCCGACCAAAATCAAATCCCCCATTCACCCACGAGCCCGAATATATAATTTATTTTCAAACTCGACCCCAAAACGAGGTCTAAATCAAGAAAAATCAAAAAGCCCTAACCCTATCCATTTCTCTAATTTCTACCCTTAGTTACATATTTTAGGCTTAGGAATTCATTAGATATTGATGAAAAATGAAGGAAACGAGTTAAGGATAACAAACCTACGAAGTTTTGGTGAAAGAAAGCTTCAATGGACGCCTAAGGACCTTGGAGAAGAAGGAGTTCGTGAAAACTTAATGAAATCCCATCACTGTTCTGTTTTGGAAATTTTTAAATAACTGGGCAAAATTGCCCTTCGCGTTCGCGACAAGCTGGTCGCGTTCGCGAAGGGTAGCACTGACAGGCCATCGCGATCGCGAGACGAGTATCGCGAACGCGGAGAAGAAATACTGGGGTCCAGAAATTTGGTCTATGCGAACACGTGGAACTTCACGCGAACGCGATGAAGAAGTTCCGATAAGCTACGCGATCGCAAGGGTACGAGCGCGAACGCGAAGAGGAAAGAAGGATAAGTCCCCCAGGGCTAGATAACTCTATGCAAACGCGAGGGCAGGGGTGCAAACGCGATGAAGGAAAAACTTAGAGCTTCGCGAACGCGGAAGAGGCGTCGCGAACGCGAAGAACAAACGGGACCTGCAACAGCTGAAGCAAATCTGCTATTTTTCTAAGTTTGAAACCACTCGGAAACACCTCTGAAACACTCCCGAGCCCTCGGGGCTCCTAACCAATCACATGCACTAACTCAACAACATCCTACGAACTTAACCGTGCGATCAAATCGCCAAAATAACATCAAAAACAACGAATCAAACCTCAAAATCACTAGTTTTTCCTCAAAATTCATTAACTTTCAAATTTAGAACTTAAAGTCCGAAACACATCAAACGACGTCCGATTTCAACCAAACTTTACAGAAACATCTTAAATCACAAATAAGACCTGTACCGGGCGCCGGAACCAAAATACGGGCCCGATACCAACATGTTCTAATCAATTTTCGTTTCAATTTTCCTTAATAATTTTAGAAAAACAATTTTACTCAAAAATTCATTTCTCGGGCTTGGGACCTCGGAATTCGATTCCGGGCATACGCCCAGGTCCCATATTTTCCTACAGACCCTCCGGGACTATCAAATTACGGGTCCGAGTTCGTTTACTTAAAATATTGACCGAAGTCAAATTTATTCATTTAAATACCCAAATTTAGCATTTTTCACACAATTTCACATTTAAGCTTTCCGGCTACGCGCCCGGACTATACACGCAAAACGAGACGACTATAAATGAGATTTTTTTAAGGCCTCGAAAGCACAGAATGGGTAAGAAAATAGGTGATGACCCTTTGGGTCGTCACACTTCTAGTATTACAACGATCTCCCACAATAAAGGGCTTCAGCAAGATAATACTTATTTACAAAATCAGATCACTTAAAAGGAAAGCTAATTACAAGTAAATATATATATATAATAGTAGTATTAATTGGTAACATAGAATAAATGGTAAGTGATCTATTATAACATGTTAAATCACACTGATGATGCCAAATTATATCACTTAAAGATTTTATTGTTATTTTTTGCTCAATGATATGAGCGAACATCAGGACGTATAATTTTAACAAATATGAACAAATCAAGAAGTTTCATATGCCTGTTGTTAAAGCATGAACATGGATCATGTACTATACTTATATAATATATACTTGTCCTGAGTAATTAACATTTGCAAAATATGTATTCCATAAAAGAAAAAGAAAAAAGAAGCAAAGACTCATTCAAGTTCTCTTTAACCAATAGTCTCTGGTGACCTCTCTAGAATTTGGTCCTCTTCCTTTGCGCTTTGCAGACATAATAAGAAGATAAAAAAAATAGCACAAATAGGAAAACAAACAAACAAAAGAGAATTCACTTTATCAATCTATAGTGAGTGGAGAAATGTACTGGCCATGTAATGTTAACAAGATGAATATATATCTCTGTTATACTGTACCAAAAGAAATAAAAAGAAGTTTACAAACATAGAAACCGTACGATTAAACTTACTAGGAATTGAAATTCAACAGGAAGATAACTTACTGGACTGAAGAGGCTTTCAAATTGGAGCTAAAGTTAGGGAGAGTTATGGAAGAAGAGGAAGAAGAAAGCAGAGGCGCTGTGAACAATGGAGAAAAGAAAGAGACCGTATGTTTTAGGTTTTCTACTGAGGGGTAATTTTGGGATTAAGAAATATTATAAGGAATAAGAATGTAATATCCTTGGTCAAAGCAATATGGCTTTTAAGCCAATTTCAAAAAAGTTGGGTTTACCCAACTTGTTGGTTTTGACTTTTTTTAAGCAGATTTTAACTTTTTTAAGCCCTTTTTTGGTTGCCAAA